TATGGTTCGTCATCGTTGAGGTCTATTCTAAACTGTGCATCCGAAGATTGCCTATGCGGGTTTTCGAATGTTTTTCTTCTTTTTGAACTACCCGTAAAGGCTAAGGGAAAATAAACAGCAATAGTAACAAGAAGATCACAAAAATTGAATTGCCAAAACTCACTTTTGACGTTTATTGAAGAAGCATAACTCAATAACTTCAACTCTAATCCCTGTCTACATAAATCTGATATCTATATATACCAAACTAAAACAAACGAGTATATAATTAGGATTCCTAGACAACTAGACTTTCCTTATATCGCTTCCTTATAACCCAGGGAAGTAAGGAGTACTTGGACAACACCCCAAGACTTGTGATCTGGACCAACCACGCATAACTTGCCACATTGGACTCAGATATTCACCAACAATCACCCCCTGAATCTCTGAGTCGAGGGTAATTCTTGCACGCCAAGCAACACTCTCCTCTCTGCGAACCTTATTCGAGCTAAGGCCTCCGTAAGTGGATCTTCTCGTTGCTTATCTCCCGAAACATGTTCAACAATCACTTGCTCGTTTTCCACTTGCTCTTGAATAAAGTGGAATCAAGTGTGAATGTGTTTGCTTCTTCTATGAAAGATAAGATTCTTTGACAATGCTATTGCTGATTTGTTCTCTATGCGAATCAGCACCCTCTGTTTCTTCATTCCTTTCAGCTCAGCTAACAACTCCTTTAACGAATCTGCCTGACACGCAGTTGCAGTAGTTACCATGAAATCAGTTTCACACGAGGACAAAGCTACTATATCTTGCTTATGGGAGCACCAAGTAATAGGTGAGTCATCAAGGTAGAAAATATGTCCTGTTGTAATTCTACCATCATCAACATCTACATTGTGAATGATATCACTGTAACCTATCAAGCTCGTATTTTTTTCTTTTTTTATATATTATCCCAGAAGATGGAGTACCACACAAGTAACGAAGAATTTTCTTAATAACACGTGCAAGAGATTCTCTTAGACTTTGCATATAACAACTAACTACTCCAATCAAATATGCTAAATTTGGACGAGTGTATAAGAAATATCGTAAGCAACCCACTATTTTTCGATAATGGGTAACTTCAAATTCTGGTTCATCTTCAGCTTTAGACAATTTTAATCCTGACACCATCGGACATTAAGTTGCATTAAACTCTTGCATGCCTGCCTCTTTTAGAATCTTCATAGTATAACTCTCTTGCTTCACCTTTACACAATTGTTTTCTTGCAATACATCAATTCCTAAGTAGCAAGTTAGCTCATCAAGGTCCGACATTTCAAACTGTAACACCATTAGTCTCTTGAATTGGTTTATAAAATCTAAACTTGTTCCCGTCACGAACAAATCATCTACATAAACTGTAACTATTATGTATTCTCCATTTGAAACCTTTATATAAACCACATTTTCTTGCATGCATCGTTGGAAAACCATATTTTTCAACGTGTTATTAAGCTTCAAATTCCATGCTCTCGGAGATTGTTGAAGACCGTATAATGCTTTTTCCAATTTGTAGATTTTTGTTTCTTCACCTTGCTTCGTGAAACCTTTTGGTTGGCACACATACACTTCTTTTTTTAAATCTCCATATAAAAATGTTGTTTTTACATCTACGTGATGAATCTTTCATCTGTTCCCGGCTGTGAGAGCAATCAATAGTATTATTGTCTTGAGTCAAGCTACTGCCGCGAATACTTCATCAAAACCAATGCCTTGCTCTTGCACATAGCCTTTAGCCACTAGACGTGCTTTGTACCTTGTAATTGATCCATTTGTATTTCTTTTTAATTTTATATAACCATCTTAACACGATAGGCTTAGCATCTTTAGATGGAGGAACTAATTTACAAGTATTGTTCTTCTCGATGGAGTTAATTTCGGCCTTCATTGCATCGAGCCAATTTTTGTTCACTTTGGCTTACTTAAAATTCTTTGGTTCTTCATTGAATGACAACATTAAATGATCCACATCTAGCTCATTGTCATTTAATATTATTGGCAACACTGAAGTTCAATTGGACCGCCGAAGTGGGACAAAACTTATATCGTTATTTTGATCATCAACAGGTTGCGATGGCATGCTATCATCGTGAGAAGTGTCATTGGTTAGGTCGGTTTGGGCCAGATCAGTGAACTATTTTGTTTCTGTTGTAGTTGGGCTCAAACCACCATTGTCTTAGGTTGCTTGACCATTACTCCACAAGACCGTAAATGTACCCGGTCCATTTCCATCTTGATTTTCGAGTTCATTACTCCATTCCATTGTCTTATTTTCATCACAAATTGAATGGGCACTAATAATAATTTTATTTTCACGCTGATTATATAACCGAAATCCTCCCGAATTGGGTTCCTTTCTAAAATATACCAATGGTCGTGAACTATCATCAAGCTTATTTAAATGTTTTGAGACTACTCTTACATATGCAACACAACAAAATACTTTTAAGTCTTCAATGTTCGTTTTTTACCACAAAACTTCTTGAATGTTGTAGCACCTATCAATGCTCGAGTAGGTGTACGATTTATGATGATCGTTGCATGTCGTACTGCTTCGCCCCAAAAATGGTTTGGAATATCTTTCACTTTCATTAGGCACCGTGTCATCTCGAGTAGAGTCCGATTTCTCCATTCGACTATACCGTTTTGTTGAGGTGCATAAGGAGCCATCAACATATGTGAAGTTCCTTCTTCGTCACAAAAATGGTTCAACTCAGTCGACGTGAATTCTCCACCTGTATCCATATGGAAAGTCTTGATCTCTTTACCGGTTCGTTCTTCAATTGATGTCTTGAATCTTTTATTAATTCTGGATGCATTGCTTTTGTGCTTCAAAAGAAAAGACCACATATACCATGAGCAGTCATTAATATGAGCTAAATTATAAATATTACCCGCTTTGGTTGGGGGGTTAACCATTCCATAATTATCTCCATGCACCATCTCGAGAATATTTGTAGCTCTAAACTTGGCTTTCTTTGCAAACGACTGCTTTGTTTGTTTTCCAACCATGCAAGATTCACAAAGTTGGTCTTGATGTTGGATTGTCGGTACCCCTTTAGCTAGCTTGTGCATCAAGTTTACAGCGCCTCCAAGTCATGCGTGCCATAACCAAGCTTCCTCATTAAACTTGGCTTGCAAGCAATGTGGTTTTCCAACTTTTAACTTTATTTTGTATAGTCGGTTTGCACTTCTCGGGAATTTCATAAGCAATCTTCCTTCTCCATCTCGCATGGTTAGAAAATCACCTCACATCCAAATATCGCAACCAGCTATTGTAGATTTCCTAAGGCCAATAACATTGCTACAGAGTGATGGGATATAATAAATGTCTTTCATTAAATTTTGTGCACCACTTTTCCCTTCGAACATAATTGACCCTTTTCCTTTAATGCTAACAAATGACCCATCTCCAAATCTCACTCTACCCGTTATGTTTTTATTTAATTCACAAAAAAAAATGAGTAGTTGTTGGTCATGTGTTTGCTCGCACCATTATCTAAGTACCAAATTCCGTCTTCATCGGCATTTGCTTCAAATTTTAGAGGGATGTATTTGCCTTCGTTCAACATCTCCGATTGATTTCCTTAGCCCGTTGATTTCTTATTGCTCCACACAAGTCAGCAAGAATTATTATTATTATTATTAATTAAAGGTGATCACATTTTTATTGAATAGTGCCAAGTAGAAACCAGAATTCTAACACTCAAACGCTGATCTAAACACTAATCTTAACACTGATCTAAACAAGGGCCCAAAGTTAAACAAACACGTTTGTATAACTTTTTTTAGGTTTACACGATGTCGCAAGTTGTGGTTTCCGAACAGTTCACAATCTATGGAATGAGTTCAGATTTCGCAGGAGGATTTCAAGTAGATTCTGATCGATATCATTTGTTGTCGCTGATTTCTCTTGCTACACAGAAATCACACCACGTATTCCTCCTTCTCATATAATCACCGATTCCAAACAAATCACGACAATCAACCCTAAATTTCAATTGTTGTGGATTTATCTTGTTGCTCAGATTCTCCATACGAGAATTTTCGAGCAGGTTTTTGTTGATCAAGTTTTCCACGTGATTTCCTTCTATTGCAGGAGGACTCTATCTTGCGTCGTAGGTTCCTCCCATCAAGAACACAAAAAAACGCAGGTTCCTACTATTACACGTACTTTCACAAGTTCTTGCTCTGATACCAATTAAGAGAAAATAAACAGCAATAGTAACAAGAAGATCACAAAAATTGAATTTCCAAAACTCACTTTTGACTTTTATTGAAGAAACATAACTCGAAAACTTCAACTTTAATTCCGATCTACATAAATCTGATATCTATATATACTAAACTAAAACAAATCAGTATATAATTAAGATTCCTAGACAGCCATACTTTCCTTATAGTTCAGGGAAGTAAGGAGTACTTGGAAAACACTCCAAGACTTGTGATCTGGACCAAACACGCATAACTTGCCCCATTGGACTCATATATTCACCCACAAAGGCTTCCAACATGTATTGTTCTAGCCACATTTCTTTGTCCTTCACAACATTCCAAAAACCAATATTTTTTAATGCTTTAATTTTTTCGAACAACTAAATTTTATTTAGAAGACAAGCCATAGGTGAGGAAAAATTACAAAGAAAAAGTTAAAAGAGGATTTTGGATCCATTCAATCCAATTAACCTTACATTTACTATGCCTATTAACAAACCAAAAATAAGATAAATCAATAACACTATAAAAAATGCAATCACACCGAGGAGGCTTCTCGCCAAACCCAAGCTCAGTTTAGAATTTCCAAATAGACCATAATGCCACATAAGTTATCGCCTCCAGCACGGGTCTTTTTCGAGCATCCATATGAACCGAATCTACCCAAGCTAACAATTCCAGAACACTTATTAAATATGGAATCCACATCTCACACTAGTAACCTATCTTACTTCACAAACTTTTAACCAACTCACAAGTCACAAATAAAGAACAAGGGAATTCATTAATGGCACATTGTATCGTGTTCTTGCCCTTGCTGCCTCACTTGGTGAAAGAAGCAGTTGCTTTAGTTTAGACAGAAATGAAGTCCCTTGTGGCCTTGTCTGTATAAGTATAACAAAACAAAATTTTAACTTTAAATAAGAGTCTGAAATGAATCACAATTATTATTATGACTTTAAAGTACCTTTAGATACTCGTCCACATCATTTTTCATTTTCTTGGTTTTCAGAGTTGCATCCATTTCCGATAAAATGCGAGGTAACTGACTAATATCAACTAGCAGATCAATCTAAATATTAAATAATAATAATAATAATAAATTAATAATGATCACTGAAAGTTACGATTAAATATACTTTGAATAAGAAAAGAAAAAAACAAGGAACCTTTAAGTTGGGAGTCGAAGGGTCTGGTAGTCTCATGTTGCGAGGGAAAGCACTTAGTACTATATTTCTCATCTGAATGCAACTTGGAGGAATGATATCATAGAAACTAAAATGATAACAAAGAAACTCTGGGAAATAATGAAGTAACAACAGAACTCTCAGTGTGCCCATGTATAGAAAACGAACCGGAGAAACAAGAAATGGAAGTAATTAACAGGTGATAAAAGTAAGTTGTTATTTTTTGGAATGAATATAGAAATTATGAGTGAGAGGCAAACCGGATAGCCAAGTTCAGCATTCCTCAATAAAGGTTCCATGAACTGGAATAAGTCAACCAGTAAACGTTGAAAATATGGCCAATCCTTTTGGACGTTTCCACTCAGTAGTTTTGGCATGAAGCTTCTGTGACTCACTAGATCAAGCCATACAAAGCTGAACACCAACTAATTTCACAATATCAAAACATGATATATTAAAAAATGAATTATATTTCCTTTCTGAGAGAATAACCTGAATGCAAGAACTTTGAGAGGCTGCAGGGAATGGAAGGAGGTTCCTAGAGCTGTCAGAACCTACACATGTCAAATCAGTAACTTAACATACAATACAATACAAGATGATATGATATGATATAATAGAGAAAATAGAGAAGTGAATACCCACCTGAAAGATTGCATCTTCAAAAACCGGATCAAGGGTACTAAGGTCAGGCATCCAACCAATGAATAACCTGAAATACGGTATGGGATTGAATGATGTTTTCTTTTCCTCCGCATCCTTTTGAATGAATCTCACAGTCACTGCTAACACTTGTTGCAACAAATGTAAAATAATCTACATTTTAAAATATACAACTAATCACAAGTCTTGGTTGAAATTCGCGATTCTAACCTTTGACAGAAGAGACAAATTGCTTACTCCATTGTCAACAGAGGAGAACTAGCCATACAAAAAAGAAGCATTATGTTGCTGAAAAGCATATATAAACAAAATGCATTATAATAGATAAAATGGCGAGAGTCAATAACTACCTTGAGTATCGAAAAGATGAGTGATGCGTACATATCAATGGCAAGGAAAGATAAGGTTTGTGCTTGTTGAGGAGCTTGGACGGGGCTCGATTTGATCACCTCAGTTGATATACAGTGTAATACAATAATTTCCTTGTAGAATTATTAATCCATAATTGGATATAACTTACTTGTACTTATAGGTTAAAGAAGATTGCAAAAAATGGCAAATGTACTTCCTTTCCTTTGAATTGTGTAACATCCGTCTCTCGAGGTATTATTTAAATTATGTAAATTAATTTTGGTTTTGGACTATCAATTGGTCAATAGACCCTTTGGAATGGACCATAGAAATATGGGTCAAGAATTTGGGCTGCCTATAAGTCGTACACTGAGCGTAACTTGGCGTATGCGGGGCGTAGTGGCCACATTGGATTAAAGGGACTCAGGGGCGTACACGCAGCATACCAAGAGGTACGCCCAGAGCCTTGGTTTGAGGGATTCAGACACACTCTCGGGTGTGTCTAGACTCAAACTAAGGACTTGATATGAAATTTTTCAAAGGATAATCATTTTCATAAATAAGATTTAGAAAAAGCAAAAAGAATTTTGAAAAAGAGAAAAGGGTGCGGTGCATGCAATCTGACGAGCTCAAGTAAGTACTCCCAAATTACCCATACCAGTTTATGTTATGTTATGTTTATCAGCTAATGAGAACTGCATGCTAGTTTAGGACTAAGGATCTAGGAAGGATGCCTTGTATGCCTATTATGTGCATATCACCTTTATGAGAATTGCATGATAGTTTAGCAGTAAGGATCTAGGAAGGATGCCTTATGTTCCTGTTATGTGTATCTCAACTTTATGTACCGCATGCTAGTACAGATTAGACAGCGATGGTCTGAATGCGATATGCTTGATTATGTGTAATCGATGCTCGAATGCTGCTTGCTTTGTGCTTTTACGAGTTCTAGCTATCTCTTAATATCTAGTAAATGAATATTTTAAGTTACATATTGCGAGGATTAAATAATTTCAGAAGGTTAGGTCTAGCTCTATTGCGCAACTCTTGTTTGAGTCCAGCCGTTGTAGGGTAGGATCTTTCATTCGAAAAATTATCTAGTCTTACTGATATGTAATAATATTCATGAGCTAGTTAGCGGGAGATAGCAGGGACTTCTTATGCAGATGATGGTGGAGAGTGGATTGGTGATTACCCTAGGGCAAGCCTAGGATGAAGTTAGCATGAGATCAGCAGTAGTAAAAGGGACTTGGTGGAGTCGAGGCAGATCTTGAGGAAAGTACGGATAGATGTGGAAGGTAGTATTGGCCCGTACTATTGAAAGCAGAGGATCCGTACTCGAAGCAAGGAAGGCAGAGATGAATCCAGGGAACTTGTAGTGTATGAGATCCCTCGAGTTATGTTTAGTATTCTGATATATGTTATGAGGTGTTTATTTTCATAATGGTGGTTTTACGCCCTAGACCAGCAGTCGGCAGTTCAGGTGCCGGTGTGTAACGACGTAAATTTCAAAACAATTTTCGAATTTTTAATCATACTTTCAATCACACGATAATCACAAAAACATAATGTATCCACTGTGTCATAACAAAACATGTCCCAGAATCTCAATATCATAAACTCTATAAGTGTGTACGGATCATGTCGGCGCCTTCCCGCGATCCTCGCTAGTACCTGAAACACGTAAGATAACAACTGTAAGCATAAATGCTTAGTGAGTTCCCCAAAATACCACATACCACACATACGCCTTTCCAGGCCATAACTCTATAGGATCTTCCGATCCATGTGTCTCAGGGGACTTCCGTCCCGAATCCCGGTAGACCTTCCGGTCCTACCCGTATCGACCTTCCGGCCCGTAACCTCTTGACCTTCCGGTCCACATCATCTTGACCTTCCGGTCCATATCATCTTGACCTCCCGGTCCTCATCGTACATAACATACATAACACATACATATCACATAACAACATACAGCTCATACATCTCATAGCATATAAGACCTTCCGGTCACACATAGGTACCCTTCCAGGTACAGTATAGTGAGAAGACTCACCTCAATTAAGTCGGATAAACTCCCGTGCTCAACGTCCCGACTTAGCCTCCTCCTATTATTCAAATAACATCCCCGATCAATATTCTCTCATGATGTCATCTCTACAGATTGGGTAGAAGGCCATTCTACCCTTCCCTAAACTCTCCTGAATCAGTCTTGACCAGAACCCTAAAGTCAACGAAAGTCAACGGTCAACTTTGACCCGACTCATCGAGTGCACAAGGGCGACTCGGCGAGTCCATGCGGGTCCTCTGAATCCTTTCAGCCTCTCTTGGCTCGTCGAGTCATCCTTCCACTCGACGGGTTACACCTGTCACGAATCCCAGGGCAACCCCGACTCGACTCGTCGAGTCCACTTATGGACTCGGCGAGTTGCCTCCATGTTCATCCTCAAATGACCTCCTAAGGTGAGATCTGCTTCCCTAACTAACAGATCTACCCTTCAAATGTTCAAATGTCACGTACAGGTGCAACCTTTACGTGCATGCAACCCACATCAAGTCATAAATGGAGAAATAACTCTAAAAATGGCAACCTAGTCCCCAATCTTTCATTTGCTTGCATAAAGATGAGGGATAGTGACTCTATGGACCTCTCATGGTCCAGATCTGATGCTATTAACACGAACGGGACCTCATACTCACTAGATCTTACATAAAATGGAGGTAAAAACCCTAAAATCATGACATTTATCATATCAACACGAAATAGAAGGGATTATACCTCCAGAGATAAACTCTCAAGATGATTAGCCCAGATCCAAGCTCCCTTCACGCTCTAGATGGGTGTTTCCTTCTTCCTTCTAGCAACACTACACCAAAAGTGATGTATTAGCCTCTTCTTGCTCTCAACTCTCTTACTGCTCTCTCTAGGGTTTCTCTGGGGTGCATTGGCCGCAAATGGAGGCCATAAAGGCCTTTAAATAGGGCATATGCCTGGGGATTTAGGGTTTCACTTAACAGCACGGACTCGTCGAGTCCACCCTTCCCGACTCGTCGAGTCCGTTCATTAATCCAGTCAGCACATGCGCTCCTACTCGACGAGTCTACGCCTCGACTCGTCGAGTCCTTCATTAAATCAGACAAGAAATGCGCGATCCTACTCGGCGAGTCTGAGTGCCTACTCGCCGAGTCCCTCCCTAAAACTCGAGATAAATACTTAAAATACAATACCTGGGAATCCGGATGTTACACGGTGAGGGATCAGGCTCCGGCTCTGGAGCTAAGCAGCTAGATGAGCAGACTAGGGAGTTCATCTACTCAGAAATCACGCGCAGTATTCTTGAGCAGACTCATGTGATCTTCGGTTAGATCAAGGAGGGTATCCTAGAGCTTATGGATGAGAGGTTTAGTGCTTTCCATACTGAGATGGCAGCCATGATGGGGTCGTACACACTCACTTTCCGATAGTTCAGGGCATGTGGAGTTCCCGATTATCATGGGGCTCGGGACCCCACTGCGAGTACTAGATGGTTGGCTGATGTCGCCAATGCAATCCGCACCAGCAGATGTCCCGACGGGGACAAGGTCAGACTGGCGTCCTGTCTTCTGAAGGACAGGGCACGTAATTGGTGGGAGGAGGTCGGACGACCCATTGGTGATGATACATTGTTGGATGCGATGACCTGGAGTGTTTTCACGACCAGGTTCAAGGCCGAGTTCACACCTGTTATTGAGGTGCACAACTTGCTAGAGAGTTTCAGGACCTCCAGCAGACTACAGAGATAGTGGCGGAGATCACCGCCAAGTTTAGGGAGAGGGCCCTTCCCGTTCCGTAGTATGTGGCTGACGAGGAGATGAAGAAGGCTCGGTACCATGAGATGTTGAGGAATGATATTAGACAGTTTGTGAGCCGCTCCAGCTGTAAAACGCTGGAGGACATGATTGCTAGGGCTCGTGAGAGAGAGATTGATCGAGAGATGGAGAGGAAGAGAAAGCTAGAAGTGGAGTCTGGCATGACGAGTTCGGGCAAAAAGCCCAAGGTGTCTAACCACAGGTCTAGGAGCCAGCAGAGCCCCATCCGTTGTGGCAAATGGGGCAAGTTACACGATGGGGTGTGCAAGGCAGGGAGTTCTGACTGCTTCAAGTGCTGCCGAACTGGGCATATGAGCAGGGATTGTACAGCTACTACCACCACCACGAAATCATCAGATCTGATTTTCTTTCAGTGCGGTTAGCAGGGACACAAGCGGTCCCAGTGTCCCAGTTTAGCAGCAGCAGGACAGGTGGTGGCACCTGCTCCTGCCACATTTAGGATTACAGACGGCCGTTAGGGTCGGGCTGAGGCACCGGTGGCGAAGAGCAGAGCCTTCCAGTTGACAGCAGAGGAGGCGCTAGTAGTTCCTGATGCGGTTACGGGTATGTATCTTCTCCATTACCTCTTTATTATTTTCTGATTATTTCACATGTTTTTGTGTTTGTTATAGGATCGTTCTTAGTTAACGGCATATTAGCTATGGTACTATTTGATTCGGGTGCCACCCGATCTTTTGTATCGGTCACACTTAACAAGCGGTTTAGTAGAGCTCCGGGGGAGCTGGATTGTCCGCTTGATGTAGAGATAGAAGATGATAGGACCGTCAGGGTCGTAAGGGTTCATAGAGGATGTACGTTACAGTTATTTGATGAGCAGATCTCAGTGGATTTGGTTCCTATTCCCCTGCGAGGGAATAAGGTTATAGTTGGTATAGACTAGTTGAGCTCCAATGGGGTAGTGATCGACTGTGAGCAGCAGCTAGTGAGGGTTCGTACTCCTAGTGGGAGAGAGCTAGTAATTCAGGGCCAGAGGCCACAACACTGACTAATTCTTTGTTCAGCAGTGAGGGTGAGGCGCCATCATCAGTAGGGTTGCGTCGGATACATCGCCTATGTCATGGATACCCGGGATAAGGGTAAGGAGATGGTCAATGATGTACCGGTAGTATGAGAGTACCGAGACGTTTTCCTAGAGGATCTACCTAGGATACCTCCGGAGAGA